AATGTCAACCAGAAATTATTGTGACCATCAAATGAGGTGGCAAATGATAGGCCAAATAATGGCACAGTGATCAAATACAATGCCCTGGTTTGCACCCAGAGGCCTCCCTGAGTAGGTTGGGGACATTCGTGCCCATAACCTGGGGCTGGCTAAAGCTGAGGTAGATCTCAGTGTCAAGACCCTGTTGGGGCCATTGTCTCTCCATCTCTTTCTCTCTGCCCCTCTTCCTTATATAATAAATACATTTTTAAAAAACATAAAATGAGCTATGTCCATGAAAATATATATATAAGATGCTATAAAAAAAATTAAGTATGTCTGGCTCTTAATATTTTAAGATTCTTCTAGCTCTAATTTTCTATTATCCCAGTCAGTGGTATATGGTAAAATTATATATCACTGTTTTTTTTCCTCCTTTTGAACAGTGGTGGGGTAACGAGTAGGAAGTGGTTAAATAAATAAATAAATAATCAATAGGAGACTTCTCACTTGTGTTAATTTCGGGCCTTAGTCACACTTTATGAAGCATCTCCCGGGACAAACTTCCAGGAGTATTTCATAATTATTTGGGCTAACTGGAACACAGATGTGAAGTCAGTGCCTTTGTGTACGTGTAACTATGCACACCTGTAAAGCACTTAAAACAAGTGTGCTCCTATAAATTAATGGTCTCATCTAAACTGACTCATTTGACCAGTATAACCAGTTGACATGCCAGTGCAAGCACAGAAAGGTGTAATAGGGACCAGCAGTTGGCGTAATGGCTATGTTGCTGGACTCCCACGCGGTCGACCGTGGTTACAGTCCCGGACCCAGTGGCTGAAACTCATACCGGGATCCTGTGCATGCATGCCCAAGATCCAGAGGGAAGAATGGAGGAGAAGGGATTGTGGCGTGGCCATCCACCCTGAGAGGGGTGATTTCTAGCTTTCTGTCTCTCTGTCTCTGTCTTTCTGGCCAATGCATGTGCCCTATAGCAAAAACCTCTCTCTCAAAAAAAAAAAGAAAAAAAAAAAGAAGAAAAACAGAGAAAGGGGGAATAAAATGGGGAAAGAGGGAAAGGTGTAATAAAATGGGAAAAGAGTGAAAGGAATTTAAAAACTAAGTAGTTAAATTTACACTTAGTTAATAACTAGATTTTGCTTTTTCAAGGACAACCTATTAAAGAAAAAAAATAAGAGAAAGAAGACTGAAGTTTGAAATGAGTATGTAAACAATTTTTGTAAAGGATGAAGTCAATCCTCCTAGCTAAAATAAGGGGGTTGAACTTGATCCTCTTGATCAAAAGTTCTCAGACTATACTGTGCAGAAGAGTCACAAGGAGAATTTGTCAAAATGTACATTCCTGATCTTAATTTCACAGATCAGATTGAGGGGCCTGTTGTAAGCCTTGGAATTTGCCATTTAACAAGCATCTCAAGTGCTTCAAGGGATTAATATGATTGAATTTGCATTTTAAAATGATAACTTGATCAACTTCTATGAAATTAATAGAATGCCTAGTGATTAGGCTGTGGATAACCCAACTATGCAAAATGTCATCTGTCTCTTTTTTACTTTTAGGTTTTTGCCATAGGGTATGTGTGCCCACAAGAGAGAGACAGAGAAAGACAGAGATAAATCACTCCCTGGGGGGATGGCCATGCTACAATCCATTCTCATCTTAAAATTTTAGGCATGTCCAGCGTGATCCTTGAGCTACCATGTCTGGGACTAGAACCACAGCTGGCCATGTGGGAATCTAGCACTTTAATCATCACACTACCTGTTGGCATTAGCCATTTCTCTTTAAGAACATTGATACTGGACTCTGTTCAAAGATTCTATCACTCAAGAGTTACTTGATAAAGCCAACATCGAGGTGGTTAAAGCACTGGACTTCTACATGGCTGACTGTGATGCAAGTCCTAGACCCTGAGGCTTGAAACTCATGCTGGCCATGTGAGTGCATGCCCAAAATCCCAAGAGAATGGAGAAGAGACTGCAGCATGGTCATCCCTTGGGGGAACGATTTCTCACTTTCTCTCCATCTCTGTCTGTGAAATGCATGTACCCTATGGCAAAAATCTCTAAAAAAAAAAAGTTATTTGATTGGTTGTATTGATCAAGTTAACCACTTTGTACTCTGTGTTCTTATCTGTAAGGATCCATCTCTAACTCAGAGAACTACCATGTGGATTCAGCAAGTACACCATATTTATTATCTGGCCTATAACACAGTAAACGTTCAAAAAACAAAGTTGTACTGACAATAACTATTGTTGTCATTATTATTGGTAGTAGTTTTATTACGCTCCTGGTTTTTAGTGAGAAGAGTAGGACATAAAGTTTTGCCCACAGAAAGTGGTCAAGCTCTTGGAGCATGAGTTGAGATTGCTTCAAAAAGAAGTCTGGGGACCAGCAGTTAGCGTAATGGCTATGTCGCTGGACTCCCACGTAGTCGACTGCGGTTCGAGTTCCAGACCCGGCGGCTTAAACTCACGCCAGGCGCGTGTGCGTGCATGCCCAAGATCCCGAGAGGAGAATGGAGGAGAAGGGATTGCTTCGTGGCCACCCCCCCCGGGGTGTGATTTCTCACTTTCTGTCTCTATGTCTCTCTCTGTCTGTCTGTCGAGCGCACGCACCCTATAGCAAAAACCTCTCAAAAAAAAAAAGAAAAAAAGAAGTCTGGACCAGCTCTGCAGCCTGATGGTTGGGGTAGCCAGATCCCATGTGACCAACCATGCAGTTTGAGTATGGACCCAAAGGCAAGCCAAGATGCATGAACTTGTGTGCCCAAAATCCAGAAAGGAGGGAGAAATGGAAAAGAAGGGATTGTGGTGTGACTATTCCCCATGAGGGGGTTGCTTTTCCCTCTCTCTCTCTATCTGTATCTCCCTGGTGAGCATGCGTGTCCTCCAAAAAAAATTTTAAAATGTTTAAAAAGTATTCTCACTGCTCTCATTATCTCCGCTGAGACAGAAATTATTGTTAGTAATAATCATTTTATTTTACACTCTCCATGTATTATTAAATACCTGAGTAGTAGGTGCTATTATCACTGTTCTGAAATTTTCTTCTTGCTAATTTTAAAACCACTGAAATTATACCCAGTGTAGAGAAGGAAATAACATCTGCTCTTGACAAGCATCTCAAAGATGTCATTAATGCAAAAATGGAATACAGAAGAAAAATCAGGATTGGAATGAAGTTTGGTTTGGGTCAATTTTTTCTCTATATACATGTAGGTTCTTATACTTTTAAAAGCTGTGTATGTGTGTTTTGCTATAGGGTACATGCACTGAGTAGAGAGAGACAGAAAAATAGGGAAAAAAAAGAAATCTCCCCCCCCACATGAGGGATGGTCATACCACAATCCCTTCTCCATTCTGCTTTAAAGATGTGGGAATGCACACACGTACGCACGCACACACGTTCCTGGTGTGTTTCTCAAGCTACTAGGACTCAAACCATGGAGTCAGTTATGTGGGATTCAGGACCTTAACCACCATGCCATTTGCTGGCCCCCAAAGCTAAAATCTTCATGCATTTTCAAGTTGAATTTTCATTAAAACTCTGTAAAGAAGGTGCTATTATAACCCCATTTTAAAGATAAAAACATCTTTAAAAATGAAACTGAGGTTAATTTATTTAACAAAACAAAATTATGCGGAAGAACTAAAACCAGAATTCAATCTTAAATCCCAAATTGGCCTGTATACCAAATTGATTGACTTCTACTGATTCAGGGGTGTGCTGGGTGTGGCATCCCCTGGGAAGACTAGGTAGGGCAACAAAGGTGAGCTGCACAATGAGTTCTCAACCCCGGTCAGCTCAAAGCATGTTTCTTTCTAAAATATTGAGGAAAAATATTTAAAAGGGGCATTTTCAGAAAATGTTTTGCAGTCCTTCTAAATTACTTCACCTTTGTCCTACGCTCACAGTCTTTATCCCAATACACAGAACCTATTAGTGTGTTCTCAGGTTTAGAGTTTTCAAACAATGTCATAACTCAGCCTTGTAGAAAGGAGGAGAAAAATAATCATTTTAAACTAAAATTGCACTGCTTCTACCTCCTAAGGGAAGTGATGTAATTCTCATCAAATGGGAAATGTCCTTTCACCTTTTCATAAAGACTGAAGAAAGCAAGCAGATCACTCAATGGTGATCAGCAGATGGTATAATGGTTATGTCGCTGGACTCCCACATAGTTGATGGTGGTTCAAGTCCCAAACCCAGTGGCTTAAAAATACACCGGGTGCAGGTGCCTGAGAGCATCCCACGATCCCAAGAGGAGAGTGCAGGAGAAGGGATTGTTGTGAGGCCATTTCCCCTGGGGTGTGATTTCCTGCTTTCTGTATCTCTGTCTCTCTGGTGAGCACACACGCCCTATAGCAAACATCTCTCATTAAAATATTAATAATAATAATCACTCAATTTTTGAGAGAACAGCCACTCTCCCACTTCTCTTTCCCAAGGCTAGGCTGAGCACGTGAAACCAGAAAGAGTGCAGAAAAAAAATACATCTATGTAAAAGAAGCTTGAGCCAAATTTGTTTGAATTTCAAAGGAGAGGCTACCTTAGTTGATACACGAATCAAACCTAAAAAATAAGTGTTTTTAAAAGAAATTGAGTAGTACAACTAACAAATCACTGCTAAGCCAAGTAAGGAAAGCCTTTTAGGTGTTCTGGCTAAAAAAATCATTTTTAATTTTCCTCACAATGACATTGAACTACTCACACGTACACATGTATTTGCTCTAAAAACACACAGGCCTTTTAAGAAAACAGTTTTTAGCATAAGTGGTGACTGACAAATCATCGGTCAGTGAAAAACTGATTTGAGTCAGTAAAAACGCTACAGAATTGATACTGTATCATTAAATAACACTGGACAATGCGATTTCTAAATTGATGTGTCACATTTTATCGCATAGACACTATATTAAATATGGTTCAGCTGCAGACAGCAGAAATACTTAAGCAGAAAGAAATTTATTACTAGGTATTAGACGGCTTACAAACTTTTAATTGTAGGCGCAGGCGCTGTGTGAGCTTCTGGGAACAATTTCCACTCGCCACAACCACATCGCCAGTCCGGCGGTCCGGAGACAGGAAGCCGTCACACCCGGAGGCTGCAGCGTGCAGAACAATGCAGTTCCGGCCTGGAAGGGACGCTGCTGCCCTACCCGCGCGCACGGATCTCGAGCTTCTGATTGGCGGAACCCTCCCCACCTCCGCCACCGTAAGTACTAGGGCATATGGGAAACGTAGTTTTTCCCTTCCAAGCGCCAAGGCACAGAGCGTCTAGTAGACATCTACTGGAACAGAAATGTAATTGAAAGGCGTATTGCGATTGATTGAACCCTTCCTTGAATTTTAGACTTTTAAGGTTTATTTTCTTCCCTATGATAAAAAAATTAATCCCTGGGTCAAACTGTATGGATAGTTTTGAAGTTTTTGATGATTGCAAAATTACCCTCTTGAAAATTTTTATCAGTTCATACACCTTCCAGCCATCCTTTTTCTATATTGACAATGATGATTAATCCATTTTTCAGTTTTTGGGTTTTTTGTTTTGTCTTGTTTTTTGTTTTTTGTTTTTTTTTTTGCTATGGGGCGTGTGTACTCACCAGAGAGAGAGAGAGAAGCACAAAGCAAAAAATCACTCCCCCCAACACACACTCCCCCAGAAGATGGCCACACTGTAATCCCTTCTCCATTCTCCTCTTGGGATTTTGGGCATGTATGCACATGTGCCCGGTGTAAGTTTTAAGTTACTGTGTCTGGGACTTGAACCCCAGTCGACAATGTGGGAGTCCAGTGATGTAACCATTACACCATCTGGCCCCCAAAGCTAAAATCTTCATGCATTTTCAAGTTGAATTTTCATTAAAACTCTGCTGGTCCCCCACTTGTCATTTTTTTATTTTTAAAAGAGAATGACCCCTCATTTTGAACCTTTTTTGTTTTTGTTTTTGTTTTTTGAGAAGTTTTTGCTATAGGGCGCGTGCGCTCACCAGAAAGACAGACAGAGACTGAGAGACAGAAGGCGAGAAATCACCCCCCAGGGAGGATGGCCACGTCACAATCCCTTCTCCTTCGTTCTCCTCTTGAGATCTTGGGCACACATGTACACGTGACTGGAATGAGCTTAAGCCATTGGGTCTGGGACTCGAACCACAGTCAACTATATGGGAGTCCAGCGACACAGCCATTACCCCATCTGCTGGTCCCTCGTTCTGAAACTTTTAAGTTTTATTTATTTATTTATTTATTTATTTACTTACTTACTTACTTATTTCTTGGTCAATGACGTTTAAACAGTTTAATTCTCATTGGTGAACTACATTGAAGTTATTAGACTACCAGTTTATGCAGTATTTCTCTGCAATGCATTGGTAAATAATCTCATATGATGGGAAATTTAGTGTGATTGTTTTGTTCATCTACATATAATTACTATTAAAATAGATAAATTTGGGGCCAGCAGATGGCAGGGTGATAAAGGGCACTGGACTCCCACATGGCCAACTATGATTCGAGTCCAGGGCCTGAAGGCTTGCTTTCTCACATTCTCTCTCTCTCTCTCTCTCTGTGTCTCTCTCTGGAAATATTAAAATAATAATAATAAAGTTAAAATAATTCTCTAAAAAGTAAATTTAAAAATAGGTAAATTTAAGATCTAGTGACCCCTTACTGTGATGTTGTATTGGTAGGTAGATATTCCTCTTTAGGTCTTTCAATTAAATGCCAATAAAACTTCCTTTCTCCTACTATGTACAAAATTAATTAGTCAGGTTTGTAGGCCTTAATTTAAAGACAAGAGTATGTAACTTGATTATGATTAAACCAATTAAATAAGGTGCAAATGCTAGACTTGAAATGTCAGGATTTGGATCTATCAGTATAATTTGATGAGCCTGGGCTTTACTGGTGTATGACTGCAGGCCCTAAATGTCTGGTTAATTATAATAAAACAAGGGATGTAGAAGGTCTACCAGGAAGAGCTCTGTGACTTAAGGAAGCTTGAAAGGTCCTAACACCTAGACCTATTCAACCTGATGGGATCTGCTAATGAAATAAGTATTCTTCCTTGATTTAATGAAGCCAGATTAATTCCCTGGCGAAAGAAAAAGATCTTTCTCCCAGCTCATATACAACGCCCAGACTTACATGGTGAAAGTTTTATTTTTTTATTATTATTTTCTGTTCCTGGAGTTAAATATGTTCCTTTTCCTTCAGAAGTAAGTATAATGAGATTTAGAGGAGTCAATAAAAGAAGACTATTTTACTCATATTTAAGTGATTTAGAGGAAAAAGAACTTTTTCAAAATTCACTTTGGAAATGAGGTTATTACTGTCTTTCTAGATTAAGACAAGACCTTGGATATACAAATTATATTATAAATATCTTTAAAGGCTGACTGTGTTGACTACAAGACCATAAACTGTCAACACTCTCCATCTAGTGGCAAGATAGGCTAATTGAAGGCAATTATAATTCTTCCCTATGAAGAAGTATTCTGACACCAAAGTGTTGGGACCAAACATTTAAGAATAGAACAGTACGGTGTTGTGGTTTTAGGTGCTAGATTCCTACATGGCCAACCAAAGTTCAAGTCCTGGACCTGGAGGCTTGCTTTCTTGGTTTCCCTTTCTATCTCTAGTCAAATAATAATAATAATAATAAGTGGAATTAGATAAATATATAAAAAGTATTATAATACCCAATAAACTTCCCTACATTTTTGCTCACTTTTCTTTTTTATGCAAGAGAGCATGTGCATATGCATAAGAGAGATCAAGAAAGAGAGAAAAAGAAGGCACCTCTCCTTTTCCTCCATTTCTTCATCCCATCAGGATCCTGCCCATGTCAGTGCACCCAGCACGAAGCCAGCAGGGCCAAGATTTGAACCCCAGTCAGCCTTGTGGAATCTAACTTCCTATGAACAGTGCCTAACTGCATAGCAATTCCACCTTAGAAGGTCCCTGGTGTAAGTCCAGAGACCTCCCTAAGTACTCCAGGCATGTGTGTGCCTGTGATCTGGCGCTGGCTGGAGTTGGATTGTGATATTCAAACCATATTTGAGGTCCTGTTTCTCTCTTTCTCATTCTATGTCTTTCTCACTCATAGAAGAAATAAATAAACTTTACATATATATACATATACATATATATATATATCTAACAGCTAGTATAGCACGGGATACTGACCAGTCAGACAGCTGGAGCAGGTTCCTGGAGGCTTCTGCTATGCACTTCATGTCAGGATTATGAATACATCTGTAGCAGGTGTGCAGTAGGGAGGCGTAGGATAGGAGCTCGGGATAGCTTCTATTTACCATGGATGTGAAATTGTTTCAGTAGTTTAACAATTAATATATTGTCATTAATACTGGCTGATTAACTGGTTAGCAGCTCTGCTGCAAGATATATTAGGTGGGGGGGACCAGCAGTTGGCATAATGGCTATGTCGCTGGACTTCCATATAGTTGACCACGGTTCGAGTCCTGGAGCAGGTAACTTAAACTCACGTTGGGCGCATGTGCGTGTGTGCCCAAGATCCTGAGAAGAGAATGGAGGAGAAGGGATTGATGTGTGCCCATCCCCCCAGGGGGTGATTTCTCACTTTCTGTCTCTCTGTCTTTCTGGTGAGTGCACATGCCCTATAGCAAAAACCTCTCCAAAAAAAAAAGATATATTTGGTGGGACCAGCAGGTGGCATGGTGGTTACGGTGCTAGACTCCACATGGCCGGCTGTGGTTTGAGTCCAGACGTGACAGCTTGAAAATCACCAGGCACATGTGAGCACATGCCCAAAATCCCAGGAGGAGAATGAAGGAAACGGGATTGAAGCATGGCCATCTCCCTTTGGGGTGATTTCCTACATCCCCTCTCACTGTCTCTCTGGTGAGTGCACATGCTCTATGGCAAAAACTTTAAAAAGAGAAAAGACATGTGGTGACTTCATGTAATTTTCTGAAAGTTTGTTTTTCTTCTCTCTCTTTACTTATGATAAAGCCCATATATATGTACATGTCAGTGAGAAAAAGAACAGGAGAGGGAAAGATAGGAATATCCTCCATCGGGTATGGTCACACCACAACCCCCTTCCTCCAGTCCTCCAGCCCGTCACATCTTGAGCACTCATGCAAGTTTGTTTCAGGCTGACTGGGTAAAGGCTTTGAACCAAGGTCACCATGTGGAATTTCATCCTCTTTTAAGCAGTGCATTACTATTGCACCATGAAGTCAGCTCTTTATTTTTTAATTTTTTATAAAGACTTGTGTGATTTGGGAACAGCAGTTAGCGTAATGGCTATGTCGCTGAACTCCCATGTAGTCGACCGCGGTTCGAGTCTCAGACCTGGTGGCTTAAACTCACATCGGGTGTGTGTGCATGCATGCCCAAGATCCCGAGAGGAGAATGGAGAAGGGATTTCGGCTTGGCCATCCCCCCTGGGGGGTGATTTCTCACTTTCTGTCTCTCTGTCTGTCTCTGTCTCGCGCACGTGCCCTATAGTGAAAAACCTCTCAAAAAAGAAAGAGTTGTGTGATTTTATTTATTTATTTGTTATTTTAAATTTGACCAGAGAGAGAGAGACAGAAAGTGAGAAAGCAAGCTGTCAGATCAAGGACTCAAACCATGATCAGCCATGTGGGAGTTTTGCACCTTAACCACCATGCCACCTGCTGTCCCCATTTACTTGTGTTTTTTTTTTTTTTCCCCTCCGAGAGGTTTTTGCTATAGGGTGCATGCACTCGCCAGAAAGACAGAGAGAGACAGAGAGATAGAAAGCAAGAAATCACCCCCCAGGGGGGATGGCCACACCGCAATACCTTCTCCTCCATTCTCCTCTCGGGATCTTGGGCATGCATGCACACACACCCGATGTGAGTTTAAGCCACCATGTCCGGGACTTGAACCACAGTCGTCTACATGGGAGTTCAGCGACATAGCCATTACGTTAACTGCTGGTCCCCCCATTTACTTTTTTTAAAAACAAACCTCTAGTAGATGCTTTATTCCTATGTGAATAAAACAGTCTCTGTGATAAAACAATATATCATATTAGAGAAACTTTTTTACATTGAGTAAGAAAATATAAGTAGAAGATATTGTTATAATAATAAAGAGAGAATAACTAAATATAATCTTACTCAATATATTTTTCTGAAAAGTCAGTTTGCAGGGTTTTACTAGACTTACTGGGTTGTAAATATTCTATGTCATTTTCTCTCTTATATTTTAAAGTTAAGCTATTTCAAATATGTCACCCAATAAGCTAATTCTTTAAAATCTAAAGGATAATTTTCTCTCATCACAGACCTCAATCAAACCACAAGCTGAAGCCAAGCCCTGTAGATTTCATCAGAGTAACAAAGATCAGAAGATAGGTATGTACCCCTTGAGTGAAAAAACATTCACTGTTATAAATCATTGAGTTGTGTAGTTATTTGTTACATAGCAAAAAACATTCTTTCTCCACTTTTCATTTATTCATTGTTATTCAGAATATACTGAACATCTGCTAATTGCTGAGCCATTACTATAGAAACCTAAAACTGGCTTTTCCTTTAGACAGATTTCTGTTTAAACCTACCAGGAAAAGGAAAGAAGATACATATAAGTAATAGCACCCAGGAAATTTGCATTCTACTGTTGAAAGAGAAAAATACACAAACTGAATCCCAAATGGATGATAATCAAATGAAGAATTATTTACCTCTGCTAGTAATCAGAGGAATGCAAACTAAAACAACAGTTAGAAAGTCTGATAAAATCAAGTAATGGTGAGGATATTGAAAAATAAGAAACCTCCTACACACCCTAAAGGAAAATAAACTGGTAAAGCCATTCCGGGGAGCAACCTGGAAGTGCCTGGTAAATTGCCTATACTTAAACTCTCTGTATGATGGAGCAATTACATTTCTAGTACTCTTGCACATGTCCCTAAGAATATTTTCCAATGCAATGTTTATGATAATAAGGATGGAAGAAGTCAAGATGTTCATCAAGAGAGAAATGGAAAATAAAATGAGAGAACATATAATACAGTAATATGCAGCACTCAGAAATACTGTTCTAGGGCTATCCCTGTGCCTAGTGGTTAGGATAGCTGGATCTCATATGGCAGTGCTATAGTTCAAGTCCCGGCCTAGGAGCTTGACAGGATGAAGAAATGGAAAAGGGATTGCAGCATGGTCATGCCTCACTGGAAGATGCTTTCTTCTTCTAGCTTTCCCTGTCTTTCTCTGTCAAGTGCATGCAGCCACTGGCAAATTCTTAAAAAAGTTCTTGAAGCCCAACTATGGTAGCACGCGCTGCTAAGAGATTGTTACCCAGAGGCTGAGGCCACATGGGAGGCCTGGGTTCAATTCCTGGCCCTACCTAAACAAGCCAGGCCATGTGGTGGCAAGGGCCTGTAGTCTTTGCTAACTGAGAGGTTGGGGCAGGAGAATTGTGACATGGCAACACTTCAAAAATTAATCCTTCTTGGGGCCAGCAGGTGGCATGGTGGTTAAGGCAACTGGATTCCCACATGGCTGACTGCAGTTCAAGTCCTGTACCTAGTGGCTTACTTTTTTTTTTCTCTCTCTCTGAAATAATATTAACACTTTAAAAATCAAATTAAATAAATAACTTTTAAAAATTACTCCATCTTACTATTTCACACTTCTCTTTTTATCTTTTTTTTAGAGAAATTTTTGCTATAGGAAGTGTATGCTCTCTGGAGAGACAGAGACAGAGAGACAGAAAGCGAGAAATCACCCCTCAGGGGATTGGCCACAATCCCTTCTCCTCCATTCTCCTCTTGGGATTTTGGACATACACGCACATGTACCTAGCATGAGTTTCAAGCTGCTGGGTCCGGGACTTGAACCACAGTCAGCCATGTGGGAGTTCAACGATGTAATCATTATGCTATCTTCTGGTCCTGACACACTTCTATTTTTTAAAAAAGAAATAATGTTACAGATTCATATAAACCTAGATGACTTAAAATACAACAAGTGGCAGGCAAGTTGGTGGTATGTTGGTTAAAGCAGCTGGATCTTACATAGCCAACTATGTGGTTCTAGTCCTGGACCAGGAAGGTTGAGAAATCTGCCAGGCAGGTGTGCGTATATGTCCAAAATCCTAAGAGGAGAACAGAGAAGAAATTACAGTCTGGCTGTACAGAGCAGCCAGATCTGAGCAACACAATAGCGACATTTAAAGACAAGTGGAGATACAATCCTTGTGCTGATGGTGCAAGGCTAGCAAAAGCTCTAACAAGGATATGATCTGTTTTTCTTTTACTTTGCATTGCAAGAAAGTGGAAATTAAAGGAAGTTGTGGTCATATCCCCATATCCCCCTTGCCCCCCAGCCCCGGCCTTGCAGGCAGAGGCACCTGATCATGGCGGGGAAGGGGGGGTGCTTTCTCACTTTCCCATTCTTTTCCCTCTCTATCTCTCTTCGGTGAGGGAGTACCGTGTGTGTGTGTGTGTGTGTGTGTGTGTGTGTTGCATAGCAAATTAAAAAAATAAAAATGGCAAGTGGGCCCAGCCATGGTAAAAGCAGTTAGGTTTCACTGCATGACATTATTTAACAGGTCTGTGTTTGGATACCAGGTCAACTTGAACACACCAGGAGAGCCTGTGGGTGCACCTGGGAATCTGGCTGAATAGGAGGCCTAGAAGAGGGACGTGACATGTTAAGACCCTGTAAAGGGTCTCTATCACTTTGTCTCTTTGTCTCTCTCTCATAAAAGAAATAAGTAAACATTAAACATATAGCAAGTGGGGGGAACAAAGGAACAGTATGAGATTTATAAAATAATTTCTTTTATAAGTTAAATACATATACCCAGAAGATGAAACTATATATGTGTGTGTGTATCCATACACACATATTTATATGGCACATGCACTTGCCAGGGAGACAGAGAAAGAGAAAGTGAGAAATTAACTCCCAGCGGGAATGACTATGCCACAATTCCTTCTCCATTCTCCCCTGGGGATTTTGGGCACGTGTCCCTGGTATGTTTTTCAAACCACGAGTCTGAGACTCCAATTGCCAGTCAGTTATGTGGGATCTAGTCACCTTTCCCCCCATGTAACCTGCTGGCCCCAATACTATGTATATTTTTAAGAACACATGTGTATCTTTATTTTTTTAAGAATTATTTATTGGGGCCACCAGGTGGCATGGTGGTTAAGGCTCTGGACTCCCACACAGCCAACCAGGTTCGAGTTCTGGACCTGGTGTCTTACTTTCTCACTTTCTCTCTCTATGTCAAGTATAGGTGCCCTATACCAAATTAGAACAGTCGTAATAATAATTATAAAT